CACAGCACTGCTCTGCCGCTGTTCTTTCGAGATTAATGTCTTTTTTTCTCCTTCTTGTGACTCTTTAAATACCCCCGCATTGTCGATGGGCGGTCACTATTGCATTAACGGGCCCTTTGGTCAAGAGTTGGCGATGAGCCACCGGTCTTCCCCCATCCGCCAGAACGCCGATCACGCCCCCCCCCTGCATCATCCGCACGCCCCCAATGATCCCCCCCCCCATCCTCTTTGGAGCTCCGGCGAGCCCCCCAAGCCCAGACAAGAGGCGATGCCCCCCCTCCCCCCACCCTCACCCCCCCCCCCTCCCCCCACCCTCACCCCCCCCCGCTCTAATCTCCTCAGGAAGGATCGGCCAAGGGCGAGATGCTGGGAAGGGAGGGGAGCGAGTGAGGAGCAGGGGTGAGGGAAGGAGAGCGACGCTGAAGGAGGATGGACCCATCTGAGCCTCATCGCCTCTTGTCTGTGCTTGGAGGACTCGCCGCAGCTCCAAAGAGCATGGGGGAGGCGATCATTGAGGTCGTGCGGATGATGCAGGAGGAGCGCGTGGGAGGGAGATCCGCGTACAGCTGCTTGATGGAGGTGAGGGCATGGCTGAGAGACTTGTGCTCGGAGAGCTCCGAGGAAACCTTCGATCTCTTAGAGGAGGTAGCGGACCTCCTGGTGCATCCCCTGAGCAAGGACGGGGAGGAGGAGAAGGGGCGAGTGAAGGACGGCGTTGCTCGTGCATTGGAGCTCGTTCCTCAAGTGATCGAATGTCTTGACAAACTCTCGGAGCTGGAGGAGGAGGAGAAGCTCGCCAAGTGCTGCCGCGTGCGAAACAATCTTGTGGATAGCTTGTTGCGCGCAAGTCACGAAAACTCAATGCTCAGCATGGGCAATATCCTCCTTGAGGTGAACCTGACGCAGGACGAGCAGCATCGCTTGTGCAAGAAGATCGAACGAGTGAGCCTGGAGGGAGAGGAGAGGAGCATGGTAGCGACACTTCAGTTTGTCATGGCTGCTTGCCAGAAGTTCCACCGCCCCTGCTGGATGTCGCTGGTGCGAAACTTGATGGCCAAGTCGCCGCCCTCGACGCTTGATGACATGTACTGTGTGCTCGGAATGTCGCTGGATGTTAACTCGCTCAGCTTCCTCCTCCTCCTCGAGCTCTACGACGAGACCAGCAGCGTCGACGAGCATGACCTTCTCCTGCTCCTCTTCTGCGCCAGGAACGACCTCTGTCGCGATTTGATGCTTCACCGAATCTGCGCGATGCTGGCGAAGCAGCTGGGGCGGGAGGAGAAGGCGCAGGAAGGAGGCGAGGGGGCGAGGGCAGCGAGGCGGATGATGTCGGAGGTGACGAGGCGGTCGGAGGCCTCCTGGTTGAGCAGCCTCCTCCTCGAGCTCTCCTCCCTCCTCATGCATCTCAGCCCGGCTGCTGCTGGACTTGCTGTTCACCTTCTCCTCGACATGTTTCACTGGCAGCCCTCCTGCCGCCCCGAGCTGCTCGCCCACTGCTTCTCCTCCCTCCTCGAGTTCGCGAGCTCTCCTCTTGTCCTCTCCTCCTACGTGAAGGCGCTGCGCAGGCTGGCGGGGAGTTACCTGCTCTCTCTGCGAGACCTGCAGGAGGAGGTGGCTCAGGGCTTCTCTCTCCTATGGATGCTTCCTCTCAACCCGGGCAAGTCCGTCATGGCGGCCTTCATGCCGCTCTGTCGCTCTGCTCCATCGCTGGTGGCCAAGGTGGCGCTCATGGTGAGGAAGGAGATGCTGAGCTCGGAGGCAAGGAGAGTGTCTCTCGCTGTCTTCGGTCAGCTCTCCCTCCTCTCCTGCGGGGCCCTCGAGGAGGAGAGCGAGCAGCTGGACGCCATCCTGTCCTTCAAGTCGAAGTTCTCCTCCTCCTCCTCCTCCATCCGCCAAGAACTCTACTCGGGCATCCGCAGGATTCTGGGAGGTCTACAGGCAAGTGGACAGCGAGGGGACGCGAGGCTGAGGCTGCACGCGAGCGCAAGGACGCTGATAGAGAGCGTCCTCCTCGAGAGACTCTCGCGCTTCTTCTGCTCGACGGGTGAGCGAAGATGCGGGGAAGAGGAGGAAGGGAGGGGGAGAGGAGGAGAGAGGAGGAGGAGAGGTCGTTTCCAGTTGCTGCGTTGCTTCCAAGTCGTTCGGACCAACTCGACGAGGATGGTGAGAACGAGAGACGATGTGGCGGGCCTGCTGTCCTGCGCGTTGCAACTTTTGCTGCTTCATCGGGAGGAGACAGGGGGGCGAACAGAAGGCGAAGAGGGGACCAGGATCGAGATGCTGCTGGAGGAGCTCGTGCGGCAAGTCACGGACAATCGCTGTGTTGCAGACCTTCTCATGGAGTCTGGGCATGTCAGAGACGAAGAGGAGGGGAGAGAGAAGAGGAGGAGAGACGAGGAGGAGAACCTCGCCTCCCCCGCTGAGCGCCTTCCCCTGCTGCTGTCCATCTATGAGGTCCTGTTGGAGTTCAGCTCCTCTCCTCTCTTCCCTCCCGACTGGATTCTCGACTCTCGTTCCCTCGCAGAGGCTCCAGCGGTCTCCTCGCCGACGACTGTGCTGATCAGCTTCTTCTGCGCCATGTCGGCGATCCTGCCCATGATAAGGCGGAGGGACGGCGGGAAGCCTGTCGCTCAGTCTTATAGGAGGTCTCGTCCTGCCTCTCCTCTTCCTACCTCGCCTCGTCCTGCCGCTGACGCCAAGCTTGCAAGGGCTCGAGGAGGGGAAGAAGAAAGAAGCTTGCAGGATCGTCTCGTCCTCGACCCACATGGAGCCCTTGATACGCTTGAGAGCATCATCAGAGCGAGCCTTTCCTCCTCCTCCTCCTCCTCTGCTCCTCGAGGTGGCAGCCGCCATCTTCTCGTGGTCACCGAGCGTATCATCTCGCGGCTTGTGGCGACGGCTGCGCGACCAAGAGAGGAAGGAGGATGTGACATGACTGAGGAGGCAGGCGGGGAGCAGGCGGGGTCGAGTCGTGCTGTTCCCCAGCAGAGCCTGTGGGTCTCGCTGCTTCCTCGTCTCGTTCATGCCGTCTGTGAGGTCTACGAGCTTGAGGAGACTCTGGCAGAGAGAGGGGGCAGGAGGACGAAGATGCCAGCAGGCGATGAGGAGGAGGAGGAGGAGGAGATGCGCTTGGAAAAAGATGTCAAAGAGACGCTGAGAGCAAGGGGCCTCGTCTTAGAGGATGTGGCGGACAGCAGAGGAGGTCGACGAGGCGGAGGAGGCGGAGGAGCGGCGCTGAGTGCAATGCGATTCTTTCTGGAGTTTGAAGGCTGCGGGGAGCAGCGAGTTGCTCTCCTCCTGGAGGGGCTGCGACGTGCGAAAGCGAGTGAGCGCATTGAGGGGGCGGAGGCGAGCAGAAAGAAGCGAAGGATTGTGAAGGTAAGGAGGAGAATGAAAGGGAGAGGCGAGGAGAGAATTGTGACTGCTGTTAGGACTCTGAAGTTTCCTCGCTGGATCTTGTCCTTGAGATGGTGGAGAGGTTAGAGCGATGGGGAAAGGAGGGAGGGGGAGGAGCTAGGTCACCCAGCCGGTTGCTTCAGCATCTCGAGTTCTGTCAGGCTGTACTGGCGACGCCTCAAGCAAGAGAGGAGGGGAGGAAGAACGCGACGAGAGCGGACAAGCTGCGAGACCTCAGCAAGCGGGTGAGATGAGAGGGAGGACGAGAAGCATGAGGGGAGGGAGAGAGAGAAGGGAAGGGAGATGAGCGGGAGAGAGGCTGAGACTTGTGAAGGTTGTTTTGCTGCTACGGATAGCAAGCGTGGAACATGCAAAGCTAGTCAGGAGCGCGATGGCGCTGGCCATGTCGCTTGTGCCGGATGAAGAGAGAGTCGTGTTTGCTCTGCAGGCTTTACGTCGAGTGTCAGTGGGAGAGGAGGAGGAGGAGGAGCGCTGCGATCAAGAGCTGCTCTGGGGGTCGCTTGAAGAACCTTTCCGATCAGCTCGTACAGCAGAGGAGATCGCAGCTCTGAGATGGGTTCGACCTCTACATGTTCTTCCTTCTTCCTCCTCACCCTCTCTTTCTTGGTTTTCTTTCTCTTTCCTTCCCCTGATCCCTTTCGTCTGCTCAAGCTCTCTCTCAGGACCTCCCCAAGTTCGATCAAATCGCCTGCGTCAACGCATTACTCACCGTCGTCCTCCCGAGCCTCATCCCCGTCATGAGCAGGAGAACACTCGCAGACATCTTCCAACGAGTCCTGGAGGACGGAGCAAGCACGAGGTGACTCGATCACTTGACTGCTCCTCCTTGTCCTTCACTCTCTCTGCTCCTCTTGAAGCTGTTCCTTTCTTCCCTCTGCTCCTCTTGAAGCTGTTCCTTTCTTCCCTCTGCTCCTCCTCTCAGCCTCGCACAGTTCGGTCCAGCAGCAGCTTCGCTCCTGCAGCGACTGCTTCTGTGCGGTCAGCTTCGCGACCTGCGGCCTCTCCCGGTTTGTATCCTCGTCCTCGGCAGTGCGGGCGAGCGTGATGAGGTGAGGATGATGAAGAAGAAAGCAGGAGCAGGAGCAGGAGCAGGAGCAGGAGCAGGAGCAGGAGCAGGAGCAGGAGCAGGAGCAGCAGGAGCAGGAGCAGGAGCAGGAGCAGCAGGAGCAGCAGGAGCAGGAGCAGGAGCAGCAGGAGCAGGAACAGGGGAAGGGGCAGGGGCAGGAGCAGCAGGGGCAGGGGCAGGGGCAGGGGCAGGGGCAGGGGCAGGGGCAGGAGGGGAGGAGGTTTTATCGTCCTCGTCACTTCTCCTTCAGGATTCACAACGTCGCCTGCCAGCTGCTGCGTGACTTCAGCTCGCTGACCTCCCTCAAAGCTGGGGATCAGCTCGCCTCCTCCTCTTTCCTTCGACTCGCTCGCCATGTCATCGGCGGCTCCGGGTCGCTCATCAGCGACCTCCAGGTGCGCCAGCCTCAGAACCGGCACATCCCCGTCGCTGACTTGAGTGGCAGCTGAGCGGGCAGGAGGAGCAGGCGGCACGAGCTAGTTACCAGCTGGAGAAGGCCGTCGCCTCCGTCAGGACCCTCTGCGGCATGCTAGGCAGGAGCAGGAGCCTTCAGGTCGAGCTCGAGAGGCTGCTGGAGGCTTCTGCACTGCCTCCACCACCAAAGAGCAAAGACGAGGACGCCAGGGCGAGCGAGCAGGTGAAGAGGAGGAAGAGACCTCATCGGCTCCGCAGCCGCAACGCGTACGTGGACGCATTCCTGGAGGAGGAGGATGGACTTGACAGCTACGCGGACCTCGAGGACTTTATCGTGTGCGATGAGTGAGACACGCGCGAACCCCCTGCGCTGCTCCTGCCTTCCCTCAAACTGACTCGCCTGCTCTTCCCCCACTTCCGACTGGTCGCATCTCTTTCTTCTCTACGAGTATGTGAACTTGTTAGCCCCTAGCTCACTCGCAGTTGAACTTCTCCGACCCCGAGAGAAACACAGCGAAGTCATGGCCGGGGCGAGAACTTGTCTGGATCAACCTCTGAAACTCCTGTAGACAGCCTCATCCAAACTTACTCCGCATTCCCCCTTTGCCCTTTGCCCCCCCACCAATTCCTCCTCCTCCTCCTCCTCCTCCTCCTGAAGGAGTTGAATTCACTCCTCTCTCCGTACAGAGGTGAGTAGATGCGAGTGGGAGGGGCTGAGTTGACGGGGGTTCGTATGAAGCGGAGGGCCCCGTTGGACTCGAAGGTGGGAGAATGCTGTGGCAATTTCCTCCTGCTCTTGCGATGCTTCCCTGACGCGGACCTGTGGAACGCTCCGTCACGCTTAACTCCGATGGATTTTGATAGGTTGAGGTGCTGTCCCTTCTGAGACTCGTGCTCCTCTGTGTTCTGAGGGCTGAACAGGAAGTCCTGCTTGTCGTTCA